CAGTACGCCTACGACGGCGCCGACTACCTCGCCCTGAACGAGGACCTGCGCTCCTGGACCGCGGCGGACACGGCGGCTCAGATCACCGAGCGCAAGTGGGAGGCGGCCGGTGTGGCGGAGCAATACAGGGCCTACGTGGAGGGACGGTGCGTGGACGGGCTCCGCAGATACCTGGAGCACGGGAAGGACACGCTGCTGCGCGCGGGTACGCGGGGCCGCGGGCGCCTCCCGTATCTCCTGTGGATGTCCCCGCTCTGCTCCACAAGGACGGGAGGAAAATGGGACTGAGGCTAGAATGTCACCCTCCCTCTGGTCAGAGTAGGAAGACGCCTCCTGGTGTCAGATCCTGCACCAGGGAGTGACTGAGGACCCGCCCTTCCCTCTGGGACAATTAAGGACCAGTCCCCCAGGGAATGGAGGGGAACACAGTCCCTGGAATACCGATCAGGGGTCCCCTCTGACCCTGCCCCAGCCGTGGGCACTGTGACTTTTCCTCTCAGGCCGTGTTCTCTGCCAAGCAATCTGTGTTTGGGGTCGGATTCCCGCTCTTCTGAGCCGCTGACCTCCACTCAGACCAGGACCAGAAGTCCCCGTTCTCCTCCTGAGACACTAGAACTTTCCAAAGAGTAGGAGATTATCCCAGACCCCTGGGTCCAGGCTCTTGTCTGGATTTCCCACTCCCTTCCCCCACCCCGTTTGTCCTGCCTATTCTCAGGGTGTCACATGAGCACTGCTGGAGTGTCCCCTGAGGGATGCAAAGTGCCCGAATTTTCTGACTCTTCCCCTCAGACCCCCCAAGGACACATGTGACCCACCACCCCATCTCTGAGCGTGAGGCCACCCTGAGGTGCTGGGCCCTGGGCTTCTACCCTGCGGAGATCACACTCACCTGGCAGCGGGATGGGCAGGACCAAACACAGGACACAGAGTTTGTGGAGACCAGGCCTGCAGGGGACGGAAGCTTCCAGAAATGGGCAGCTGTGGTGGTGCCTCCAGGAGAGGAGCAGAGATACACGTGCCATGTGCAGCACGAGGGTCTGCCGGAGCCCCTCACCCTGAGATGGGGTAAGGAGGGGGTGGGGGTCCCGTCTCTTCTCAGGGAAAGCAGGGCCCTTCTGGAGCCCTTGAGCAGGGTCAGGGCTGAGCCTGGCTCAGGCCCCTCACCTTCCCGTCCTTTCCCAGAGCCGCCTTCCCAGCCCAGCATCCCCATGTTGGGCATCATTGCTGGCCTGGTTGTCCTTGGAGCTGTGCTCATTGGGGCTGTGGTCGCCACTGTGATGTGGAGGAAGAAGAGCTCAGGTAGGAAGGGATGGGGGAGGGTTTGGGGCTTTCTTGTCCCACTGAGGGTTTCACGCCCAGGCAGAAGTGTGCCCTGCCTCACTCAGGGGCCCTGTTTGCTCACACTTGCTCTATTGGAAAGGACATGGAATGTGCAGAACAAATCCATCACCTTGATGATTGTGGGAATTTAGACCTGAATCCCAGCAGTCACAGGTCACAGGGACAGGTGCCTGCTGAACACAGACATCCAGGAGGGCAGTTAGTCCAGTGCCTCCTTCCCTCGTGTTTCTTTATCTTGCCCTACATCATCAGTCACAGTTCTGGAACCTTCTGAGAGGTCAATAACTAGGGGGATCTTCTAGGACCTCATGGCCGTGCCTCCTCTCTGGCCTCTCACAGGACATTTTCTTCCCACAGGTGGAAAAGGAGGGAGCTACACTCAGGCTGCCTGTAAGTATGGGGGCCTTGTCCCTGAGACCTTTGGGACAGTGTAGACAGGAGCCCATGGGGGGCTCCCCACCCCATAATCCTCGTGTAGCCACCTCTCCTGTGGGCTCTGACCAGGTCCTGTTCTCTTCTACCCCAGGCAGCGACAGTGCCCAGGGCTCGGATGTGTCTCTCACAGCTTGTAAAGGTGAGAGCTTGGGGGCCTGAAGGCAGGGAGTGGGGCAGCAGGGACAGAGCTGGGCTGTGGGGATTCTGTGTTTGGGACATTTTGACTGTGGCGTGCTGTTCCTAGTGTGACCACTTATCTTGACTCACCTGAATTTGTTCCTGATTATTGTTTTTTGCAGCGTGAGACAGCTGCCTGTGTGGGACTGAGCAATGCAGGACTTCTTCCCGCCTCCCCTGTGTGGCGTCAGGAGCCTCTGACTTCTCTGTGTGCAAAGGCACCTGATGACTCTGTGACCCTGTCAGCATCGTGTGATGGGGTGGGGAGGCCAGTCCTGCCCTGTGTCCTGCACCCTCTGCCACACTGGTCCCACACTGGTCTGTGTCCTGTGCCCTGTCATTATGCCTATTCCAGTGAGGGAGGGCTGGGACGTCTCCATCCCTATCTGATCGTCACAGTGCACTGAGCTCCTTCCCTAATGAAAATAAGAATTGAAAATAAATTTATTTTCTCCAATTATTTCAATTAGAGGTGGATGGTTTAATTAAAGGAGAAGTTTCCTAAAATTGAGAGTGGGAATAAATGGAAGACCTGAGAATCTTCCAGAACCCTTGTGTTTGCTGTGCTGACTCTGCTGCAGGTGGGGACAGGAGAAGGCTGTGAGGACCCCAGTGTGGACGGGGCTCTGCCCTCTGAGTGCTCAGTCCTTCACGGGCTGTATGTGTCACTCCTTGGCTCTGTCATCCTCTCTGCTCTCTTGTCCTTGTCCCAGGAGAACCTTGTCCAGCAGGACCTGTGATGACAGAGGCTGAGACGCCCCCAGGGCAGCCCCTGAACGGGGAGTCTCTGGTGTCAAAAGATGAAATTTCAGACTGAGCAAGCCTGAGGCTTTTTCCTCGATTTTGTTTTGCATCTTTTCCCCAACCTTTTTATTCCTTTATTTTTAATTTTTATGGATACATAATATTGCTTATATTTATGGTGTACATGTGCTATTTCAGTAAAAGCATACAATGTGTAATGATCAGATCCCTTACCTCAAACGTTTATCATTTCTTTGTGTTGGGAAGGTAATCTCTTCTAGTTGGTTTGAAATATACAGTAAATTATTGTTAACTAGAATTACCCTATTGTCCTACTGAACACTAGATCTTCTTCCTTCTATCAAACTATTTTTATACCCATGCCAACATCCGGTAACCACCACTGTATTCACTACCTCTGAGAGGTCACATTTTTTAGCTCCCACATGTGAGAGAGACACATGGTATCTGTCTGTCTGTTCCTGGTCGATTTCTCTTGACTTAGCATCCTCTAGTTCCATCCGTGTTGCTGCACCCATTTTTTTTTTTTTTTAGGCAGAGTCTCACTGTTGCCCAGGCTAGAGTGCCAGGGCATTAGCCTAGCTCACAGCAACCTCAAACTCCTGGGCTCCAGTGATCCTTCTGCCTCAGCCTCCTGAGTAGCTGGGACTACAGGCATGCGCCACCATGCCCAGCTAATTTTTTCTATATATTTTTAGTTTTCCAATTTATTTCTTTCTATTTTTTTGTAGAGACGGGATCTCGCTCTTGCTCAGGCTGGTTTGGAACTCCTGACCTCGAGTGATCCTCCTGCCTTGGCCTCCCAAGTGCTAGGATTACAGGTGTGAGCCATGGCGCCTGGCTTGTACCAAACCTTTTTAAAGGAACCCATTTCTGGAATTTACAGAGAAGACAGATCCCACCATATCTTCTCTTAGATAAATTCCTATTTGGTTTCTGTCTCCTCTGCTAATTTATCCCCAACTTTGCCCTTAGTTCCAGTAATCCCGTCACTGGCTCAAATCCACACTCATGGATTTATAAAGTAGGCTCTAAGTTAGATTTACATTTGTGTGGAAAATTAGACTCATAGTCAAAGATGATGGTTGTTCCTAGGGGAGAACTATCTCTGTGTGCTGTAGGGTGCAGGAAGGTTGTGTGTGAGGGAGGGAAGGGGGAGGGAGAACAGAACAGCACAGATGAGGAAAGCACAGGTGGAATTGATGTCAGTGTGCAAGGACAATGTCAATGTGAGGGGACACTTGCCATGAGGCTACATTAATAAAGACCCTGTGCTCTGGGGAAGCCACCTGCTGTGTCATCCCAGCCCTGTGCAAAGCTCCATGTTCTAGAAACAGAGGGATCCTAGGAGCAGCAAACAGGCAGCTGAGGCCTCTTCCAGCAGCCACGAGTGAGCCACGTTTCATGCAATCCCCAGCCCCAGTCCAGCCCTCAGATGACACTGCCAGGCTGACAACTGGACAGCTACCCTGTGAGAGGCCCTGAGCCAGGAGCACTTAGTGAAACCTCTCCTGGATTAGTGACCACCAGAAACTCTGGGAAATAATAAATATTTGTTGTTTTAAGCTGCTACATTTTAGGTAATGTCATACACAGCAGTAGATAACTAATAGAATTTCCAAAGAGATAATGAATTATCGCACTTTAATTTTCATTTGCTCTACATGAATTATAAGATCTTAAACATATCATTTAGTTGTAGGATATAAGAAGAATTTCCATGGCTAAATCAGGTGTATTTTATTGCCACTCACAAGTATCCATTGACTTGAAATTCTATTTCCAGCTGTGACCCAACAAAAACAAAGGAAGATCCGGGCTTGCTGGGCTGATTCTGTGATGTCCCCCAATAACAACCCCCTGCTTATTCACCTTCCCCCAGTTACTCAGTCACCACTAATGTAGGTGCTGCTGCGAAGGGACTTGCAGATATAACTAAGGTCCAAAATCAGTTGACTTTAAGACAAGGGATTATCCTGGATTGGACTGTCCTAATCCAGGTGAGCCCTTAAAAGGACTGGGTTCTTGAGCATGAGATTCACAGTGTGAGAGGGGCTCAATGTGAGAAAATTTCTTCACTGTGGGCTTTGAAAGTGGAGAGGCCTTGTGGCAGGGAGCTCTGGGGGCACCAGGAATTGGGAGCAGCCCCCCCCTTACCTGATAGCCAGCAATGAAACAAGGACCTCCGTCCTACAACTGCCAGATTCAGAATTCTGCCCACAGGCTCCATATAAGCTTGGGGGAGGACACAACCTCAAGATGAGGACACAGCTTTGTGAAACCCTGAACAGAGAACACAGCCACACCATGCCTGATAAGCACATAACCTTTTTTCCACTGGAATGGCTTTATAAACTAATATGTAAAAGTTGCATGAAATAAAATCTTTCCTTTTTGAGTATTTTTCCTTTATGATTTTATGTGAGTAAATTAAATTTTAAGACAATGGAGATTTCATTTATTCATTCAACAAAAATTAATTTTGTGCCTACTTGGTACCAGGTACACCTTTACATGCTGGGGTTATGGCTTTGACACAAACAGCCCAAAGCCCCTATGCCCACATACCACACATTCCAGAGGCTTTGCAAGAGTGAAACCAACCCATGGGAGCATTTTAAGTGAAGAAATGATAGGACCTGACTCTCATTGGCAGGACTGCTGAGCACAGTGGGGAGGACAGCTGTGGGCAGGAGGTGAGGGGACAGTGCTAGTGCCACAGGTCAGGAGTGAGAGGCGGTGGGACTAAGGGGAGATGAGTGCAGGCTGAGAGGGACAGAGGGAAGGGCTGGAGAAGCAAGAGCTGAGGAACAGGAGTAGAGGGAAAGAGTTCTAAAGCAGCCAAATTCTCAGATGCAAACACAGTGTTTTATAGGGTTTAATACGCATGTCTACAGAGCCCAGGAGGGTATTCTTCATATTTGATCATTTTTCTTTTTTTTTTTTTTAATTTAAAGAAATGTAGAACTTGCTTTGGCTTTGCAGCTGGAGGTGCTTTGTTTTCACACTCGGGCTTGATAGCAGCTTCTTCACCAGAGGCGATGGTGGCACCCAGGCAGGTGTCTCCAAAGCTACTGCTCTGGATCTTCATTCCGAGGCGGTACTTACTCCCCATGCGTACCTCCATGATTCATTCTTGCTGTTCCAGCAGCCTGTTTTTCGTAATTAATACATTTGTGGGGCCTTTCCACCGGGCTCACCCCTAGATGAACCCCGGACTCCCTTCTCCATGTCGCCGTTCCTGTGGTGTTGGCGGAAGCTGGCCTCCTGTGGCAAGGGCTCAGCGGCTGCTGAGTGCTCATGTTGGTGAGCCCTCCCTGACTCCCGCGAGAACCCAGAGGGCCTGAAGGGCTCTGGGGTTGGAAGGTTGGAAGGCTCCAAGGCTGGGAAACTCCCGACCTTAGAAGGCAGCAAGCAGGCAGGCTGGAGCTCTGGTGGCCGCTGGAGAACAATACAGAACTGAGATTGCAAAATGGGAACTGGAGGGGGGTTGGGGACTGAAGTCTGCAATGGGAGGAGGAGGGATTGGTAACTGTGGAAACCCCTCAAGGTAAGAAAAAGAAGAGCTGGGTGTCTGAGAGATGCTTGAGTTGAATGGAGCATATGGGGGAAAGGGAGTGCTTCTAACCGAGATGGATGGCAGGACTTTATTCTACCCCCACTTCAAGAAGAAATACTATGAAGAAATGCCAGTTTGTCCTCATCTATTCTGCACTGTCCCGTGACAATGACGCCTCTGGGGAGGAGGATAACTAGGGTTCCTGGGAAAGACAGGGTGCTCACTATTCCTGACATTGCCCCAGCCATTCTCAATGTCACCACCCCAATCCCTATTCCGGGTGGCTGAGTCCGAATCTAGCAACAACCACCCCTAATCCTACCTTCTTCTGGTTAATCCCAGACCCAGGTGTTGTGGCAACATTAGAAATGGGAGGGGTTTAGAGCGTGACCCGTATGTCAGGTGCCTGAGTTGAACAACCTAGGCGTTCCCAATTTTCAGATAATGCTCAGAATATTTTTTAATGTCCATTCCGCTGTGTTAATTGAGGGTGTTCCTTTCATGCAGAAAGATTTTGAGGATGGCCCCCAGAATATATACAGCCTTTATGAGCAAGTCAGCTACAACTGTTTCATCACTGCCAGCCTTTACCTCCTCCTTGGAGGCTTCTCTTTCTGCTGAGTTGGGCTCAATAAGCACAAGGAAAACATGGTGCGCTAGAGCACAGTCCTGATTCCCCTCTCCAGCCCTCTCCTTTATTTAACGACTCCTTCCACCCCCTCACCTGGGTCCCATCCCACCCATTCTAGCCACCTCTGAGGGACTGGGTTTCCCTGGAGAAAGACTGAATCCCTTGTTCCTCCTCGAGCACCAGTGGAGGGGGCTGGGACTCGCCATTGACTGTCTCTCCAGTTCCCTAGCTTTGTTTTGAACCACAATAAAGAAAATCTGGTCTTGTAAAATAATAATAATAATAAATTTGTGGGGCTACCTAAATGCTAATTGCCTTATAATATTAATAAGGTTAAATAATGCCAACTGTCCCCCCAAAATATGCACAAAGCTTAGATGCAAATAATTCATAAAAGCAGGCAAGGTGTGAGCACGAGTGAGGGACATTCCTACTGAGCACGTGCAGCTTTGTGCTGTGGCCCATTTACAGGATGGGGGATGAACACAGAACACAAAAGAAAAATACAGACTCACACACAAAGACAGTTTCATGACTCCAGTGTCCAATGCACCTGTCAGTTTATTTTTATACTCTAAAAAATTAAAGTTACTTCCCTGTACATAACCACCCAGGCATTACAGCAATGGCCATAAATTTGGGAACATGTAGCCTTAAGGATACAGATGTCCCCTGACTCAAGGTTTCTAGGTAGTTGCTCTAGGCGCCAGGCATAGATCACAGACCGAGATTAGCAAAGATGGGGAAAGCAGCCACAGGGGGCATTTTTCGTCCCCAGTTTCTCTTAGGCTGATCCTCTGTGGTTGTGCATGGCTTAGGTCGCCCCTCCCTTGAGGGATCTTACCCATTATTGACTAACCAGCCATCTTATGGGCTAAGCAGCAAGCACAGGAACAATGTGTTTATGGTGTGGCCTCCAGACCCCCACTGACTTCGAGCTGAGCAGCTCTTGCCTAAGTGCAGAAACTCAGGTCCTTTGTTATGCCTCTAGACAGCAACCTTGTTTGTCACATGGACACTGTCCGGAACACATTACTCTCAAATGCTCTGGGAAGAGCACATACATTACTCACTAAATTGAATTCTTAAACCAGGAAAGTGTAATGTCAGTCCCCAACAGCTGTCAAGTGATTCAAGTCCTACAACTACTGGTTGATAGAGACAGCAACAGATTGTGCTTCTTGGTATGAGGCGATGTCCTGCACTCACACACACAGACTCAGGGCTGTACAATGAAGACAATTTTAAAATATAACAACTCAGGAGTCCAAGACACACCGTCTGGGAATGTAAAACTTGGGAGTGTTGTGAGTCTAACCGTAAAGCGTTTAGACACATGTATATATGGAGGGGCCCAACTCACTTCTTTTACACCTTAGATTCCTGATCATTCAGGGATTACTAAGATTGTGCTGCCCACCCCAGTCCATAAACACAAAGGAAACTGGTCTCTATGAGAGTCTCTCTGTGGTGCATTTAGACGCAACGTCTCTGGGTTTAAAGAGAAAACCCCGTCTCTACACCTCCACGCCCAGGGCGAGGTCACCCTGAAGTGAAGTGGCAGGGGCACAGCCCAGCCTGGGGGGGTCTCTCCTTGGTTTCCTCATCCAGTTCCTGGGCCCGGACTCAGGGAGACAGTGTGACAAAGAGTGCTCCGTGCAGAAGGAGAGGGGTCAGAGCAATGTCGCTAGGCCCCAGGCGTGGCTCTCAGGGTGTCAGTACCAAGGTCCCTCTCCAGGGCAGGGAAGCTCAGCACTGGGGATTCCCCATCTCCCTGAGTTTCCCTCCTGCCTGTCCCAACCCGTGTCAGGTCCTTCTTCCTGGATACTGCTGACGCAGACCCAGCTCTCACTCCCATTGGGTGGGCGGTTTCCAGAGCCGCCAAGAGAGAAACCGCGGTTCCCGGTTGTAATGTCCCCACGGACTCGGAGTCTCCCCAGACCGCGAGGATGGCGGTCCCGGCGCCCCGAACCCCGCTCCTGCTGCTGTGGGGGGCCCTGGCCCTGACGGAGACGCGGGCGGGTGAGTGCGGGCGGAGCGAGGGCGCCGCCGGGCCGGGCGGGGGCGCAGGCGCGGGCGCGGCGCGGAGGCGGGTCGGGGTCTCAGCCGCTCCCCGCCCCCAGGCCCCCACTCCATGAGGTATTTCCGCACCGCCGTGTCCCGGCCCGGCCGCGGGGATTCCCGGTACATCTCCGTCGGCTACGTGGACGGCACGCAGTTCGTGCGGTTCGACAGCGACGCGGCGAGTCCGAGGGTGGAGCCGCGGGCGCCGTGGGTGGAGCGGGAGGGGCCGGAGTATTGGGACCGGGAGACGCGGGTCGCCAATGGCCACGCGCAGACTTTCCGAGTGAACCTGCGGAACGCGCTCCGCTACTACAACCAGAGCGACGGCGGTGAGTGACCGCGCCTCGGGTCACAGGTCACGACCCCGAACCATCCCCACAAACAAGCCCGCAACGCCGTCCCAACTCGTCTGGCTGTGCCTGTATTATGCTGATTCAGTGAGGAGCTGGGACGTCGCCATCCCTATCTGGTCGTCTATCAGTGCACTGAGCTCCTGTCTCCTAATATATATTATATAGCAATGAAAATAAAATTGAATTTCTCAATATTTCAATTATGAGGTGGATGGTTAATTAAAGAAAGTTCCCTAACAATTGAGAGTGGGAAAAATGGAAGACCTGGAGATATCTTGCCAGAACCCTGTGTGTTTGCTGTGCGACTCTGCCTGCAGGTGGACAGGAGGAAGCTGTGAGGGTACCCCAGTGTGACGGCTCGTGCCCTCTTGAGTGTTCAGTCAAGGGCTGTATGTGTCACTCTTGGCTCTGTCATCCTCTCTGCTCTCTTGTCCTTGTCCCAGGAGAACCCTTGTCCAGCAGGACCTGTGAGGACAGAGGCTGGACGCCCCCAGGCAGCCCCTGAACGGGAGTCTCTGGTGTCAAAAGATGAAATCAGACTGAGCAAGCCTGAGGCTTTTTCCTCGAGTTTGTTTAGCATCTTTTCCCCCAACCTTTTTTCCTTTATTTTAATTTTTATGGAAATAATAGTTGCCTTATTATGGTGTACATGGCATTCAGTAAAAGCAGTACAAAGTGTAATGATCAGATCCCTTACTCAAACGTCTTATTCATTCTTGTGTGGAAGTAATCTCTCGTATAGTTTTGAAATATACAGTAAATTATTGCTAACGTAAATTACCTATGCCTACGAACACTAATCTTCTTCCTCTACAAACGATTTTCTAGACCCATGCAACATCCGGTAACCACCACTGTATTCACTACTCTGAGAAGTATCATTTTTTAGCCCCATCATGGTGAGAGAGAACATGGATCTGTCGTCTGTGTCCTGTCGATTTCTCTGACTAGCATCCTCTATCCACCGTGTGCTGCACCCATTGTTTTCAGGCAGAGTCTCACTGTTGCCCAGGCAGATGCAGGCATTAGCCTAGTCACAGCCAACCCAAACTCCTGGCTCCAGTGATCCTTCGTGCCTCACCTCCTGGGAGTAGCGGGACTACAGGCACTGCGCACCAGTGCCCAGGCTAATTCTAATATTTTAAGTTCCAATTTATTTTTTATTTTGTAGAGAGGATCCCTCTTGCTCAGGCTGTGGAACTCCGACCTCGAGACCTCCTGCCTTGGTCTCAATGTGCTAGGATACAGGGTGTGAGCCATGGCGCCTGGCGTTACAACCTTTAAAGAACTCCATTTCTGGAAGTTAAGAGGAAGACAGATCCCACCATAATCTTTTCTTCTATGGTATTTATATTCCATTTGGCTGTCTCCTCTGCTTAATATTCCTCATCTCTCCTTAGTCCAGTAACCCTCACGCTCAAACACACCATGGATTTTATATAAGTAGGCCTAATTAGATTACATTGGTGAAATTAGACTCATAGTCAAATTCTTAGATGTTTGTTTTTCCTATGTGGGAGAACTATCTCTGTGTGCGGTAGGGGCAGGAAATTTATTGTATTGTATATGTGATTGGTGTGAACAGAATCAGCACAGATGAGGAAAGCACCAAGGTGGAATTGATGCAGGCAAGGACAATCAATGTGAGGACAGCTTGCATGAGCTACATTAATAAAGATTCCCTGTGTCTCTGGAAAGTTCCACCTTCTGGGTCATCGCCTAGCCGTGCATAAGCGTCCAGTCTAGAATTTATTCATAGGTTATCTCTTTAGACAGCAAAACACAGCTGAGCTTTCAGCAGCCACGAGGAGCACGTTCATGCAATCCCCAGCCCAGTCCAGCCCTCAGAGACCACGCCGCTGCTACAATTGCTTGATCTATTTCTTTTTATTCTCCTTGAGATTTGCCTGAGTCCAGCGCATCTTATTTGGTGAAACTTCTTCCATGACTACCCAATACTCGGGATATATATATTAATTTGTGTTTTGTTGACGCGACTATTTATTTTGTAATGTCAACACTATGGCATAGTATTAATTTCTAATGTTAGATATTTGCTAAGAGAATAATGAAATAATCCACTTTATTTTCATTGCTCTACATAATATAAGATCTTAACATATCATTCGGTGTATGATTTATAATGATTTTCTCTAGCTAATTACAGTATTTTATGCATCTCTAACTATTATTTCCATTGACTTGTATATATTTATTTTCTCACTTGTGATTCCATACATAAATCAAAGATATTATCCGGCTTTTGTCTGCTGTATTGCGTTTATTGGCCCTTCTAAGACCACTCCTCCTCTGGGTGTTATTTTTCACCTGCCCTCATGTGTACTTCATATGCATCATCTTAATATGTTGTTTGGGCGCTGCATATATTACTTGCAAAACTAAAGGCCGAATCATCTTGACTTTTAAAGAACAAGGGATTTTTATCCGGGGTTATGATGAGCTTTGTCCTAATCCTATGTGATGCCTTTATTAAAGGGATTTTGGGTTTCTTCTTGTTCTGATGCATGATATGTCATCCATGTTGGATTGATTGCTCAGTTAGATTAATTAATTTTCCATCTGTGGCTGAATAGTGATGTTTGGATTTTTGGCCGTTTTTTTTTTTTTTTTTTTTTTTTGTTGTAGGACTCTGGGGGCACCAGAATTGGAGCACGGCTTATCTGATAGCCAGCAATAAACAAGACCCAGCCTAAACTCCAGATCAGAATCTTCTTCATTTATCTCCTATTATACTTTTTTTATTATTTTTTTCTCTCTATTATCTTTCAATTATGATGAGCATCATTCTTTTATATACCCTGTATTATCATGAGATATCATTCTATTCCTACTATCTCTATGCCTGAAAGCACAAACCGTTCCCACTAAATGGCTTTATAATTTATCATTTATATTTTATTTTATATATGTTGCATGAATAAACTCCTTTAGTATTTTTCCTTTATGATTTATGTGATAAAAAGTTTAGACAAATGGAGATTCATTTATTCATTCAACTATATTATTATTTGCTCATCTTTTTTTTATCCTATATTCTATCTCTTTATTTATCTGTATCTTCTTTTCATCTTTTTTTACACCAAAGCCCCTGTCACCTGACTCATTCTATTCCATCTCTCTTATATTGAAACCAACCCACGAGCATTTATGAGTGAAAAAAGACAGGACCTTATCTTCTGATCTGCTATATTACTATTTGGTTTTATATCATCTTGTCATCTATGATTTTTTTTTTTATCTTACTATCTCACTATTCTGATTGTATTATCTTTTTGTTGTATATGTTATATATTTTATATTCTATCATTACTATATTTTATATTTGTGTATGATTTATATATATTTTTTTATTATACAGGAGAGAGGGAAAGAGTCTAAAAGCAGCCAAATCTCAGAGCAATACAGGTTTATAGGCTTAATATGATATTTTACTATTGAGCCCTAGTATGTGTATCTTCATATTGATCCTTTTCTTTTCTTTAATTTTAAAAAAATGGAAACTTGCTCTGGATTGCAGTCTGGAGGTGCGTTTTGTTTCACACGCGAGCTTGATAGCAGCTGCCACCAGAGGCGATGTGCCACCCAGGCTATGTTTGTGCTCAAGCATGCTCTGGAGTCTTCAGCCGAGGCGGTACTTACTCTCCTATCCTACCTTCCATTATCTTTTCTCTATATGCTCTATATTATTATTACATTTGGTGGCCTTTTTCACGTGTCTCATTCCCTAGATGAACCCCGGCCCTTCCCATGCGCCGTTCCTTGGTGCGGAAGCTGGCCTCCTGGCAAGTGCTCAGCGGCTGCGAGTGACATTGGTGAGCCTCCCTGACTCCCGAGAGTAACCCAGAGGGCTGAAGGGCTTGGGGTTGGAAGTGGAAGGCTGCAAGGCGGAAAACTCCTGACCTTAAAAGGCAGCAAGCAGCAGCTGGAGCTCTGGTGGCCGCTGGAAACAATATCAGTATATCTGAGATTTTATATAAATGGATACTGGATGTGGATTTTGACTGAAGTCTGCAATGGGAGAAGCTGAGTGTAAAGCTGTGGAATATTTTCTCTCTCTCTATTTATATATATATATATATCTTTGAGAATGCTGAAGTTGAATGCGAGCATATGGGGAAAGAGTGTTGTAACCGAGATGGGATGGCAGGACTATCCTTACCCCCACTCAAGAAGAATACTATGATAGAGTATAACCAGTGCCTCATGTATTCGCCACTGTCCCTGACAAGAACGCCTCTGGGGAGGAGATTTAACTAGGCTCCTGGGAAAAACAGGGCCACGTATCGCTGACACTCCCAGCCATCTCAATTCACCCACCCCCAATCCCTATCGGATGGCGAGTCATAAATCCAGCAACAACCAACCCCTAATCCATACTTCTTCTGGTTAATCCAGACCCAGGGTTTGCAACATTAGAAATGGGAGGTTTAGAGCATGACCGGTATGTCAGGGGCCGAGTGAACAACCCTAGCGTTCCCCAGTTCAATAATGCTCAGTATATTTTTTAAAGTCCATCCGCTGGTTAATTGAGATGTCCCTTGATGCAGAAAGATTTGAGATGGCCCCAGAAATTACAGCTTTTATGAGCAAGTCAGCTACAACGCTGTCTCATGCCAGCCGTACCAACTCCTGGGAGGCTTCTCTTCGCGCCGCCTCCCGCATCTCCTGTGGATGTCCCCGCTCTGCTCCACAAGAACGGGAGGAAAATGGGACCCAGGCTAGAATGTCGCCCTCCCTCTGGTCCAGAGCAGGAAGACGCCTCCTGGTGTCAGATCCTGCACCAGGGAGTGACTCTGAGGACCCGCCCTTCCCTCTGGGACAATTAAGGACCAGTCCCCCAGGGAATGGAGGGGAACACAGTCCCTGGAATACAGATCAGGGGTCCCCTCTGCCCTGCCCCAGCCGCGGGCGCCGTGACTTTTCCTCTCAGGCCGTGTTCTCTGCCTCGAAATCTGTGTTTGGGGTCGGATTCCCACCCGTCTGGGCCGCTACCCTCCAATCAGGCCAGGTCCTGAAGTCCCTGTTCTCCCCCTCAAAGACTAGAACTTTCCAAAGAGTAGGAGATTATCCCAGACCCCTGGGTCCAGGCTGGAGTCTGGATTTCCCACTCCCTTCCCCCACCCCGTTTGTCCTCCCCATTTTCAGGGTGTCACATGAGCACTGCTGGAGGGTCCCCTGAGGGATGCAAAGTGCCCGAATTTTCTGACTCTTCCCCAGACCCCCCAAGGACACACGTGACCCACCACCCCAGCTCTGAGCGTGAGGCCACCCTGAGGTGCTGGGCCCTGGGCTTCTACCCTGCGGAGATCACACTGACCTGGCAGCGGGATGGGCAGGACCTGACCCAGGATATGGAGTTTGTGGAGACCAGGCCTGCAGGGGACGGAACCTTCCAGAAATGGGCAGCTGTGGTGGTGCCTCCAGGAGAGGAGCAGAGATACACGTGCCATGTGCAGCATGAGGGTCTGCCGGAGCCCCTCACCTTGAGATGGGGTAAGGAGGGGCTGGGGGTCCCGTCTCTTCTCAGGGAAAGCAGGGCCCTTCTGGAGCCCTTTAGCAGGGTCAGGACTGAGCCTGCCTCAAGCCCCTCACCTTCTCGTCCTTTCCCAGAGCCGCCTTCCCAGCCCAGTGTCCCTATGATGGGCATCGTTGCTGGCCTGGTTGTCCTTGGAGCTGTGCTCATTGGAGCTGTGGTGGCTGCTGTCATGTGGAGGAATAAAAGCTCAGGTAGGGAAGGATGGGGGGAGGGTTTGGTGCTTTCTTGTCCCACTGGGGGTTTCACGCCCAGGCAGAAGTGTGCTCTGCCTCATTCAGGGGCCCTATTTACTCACACTTGCTCTATTGGAAAGGACATGGAATATGCAGAACAAATCCATCACCTTGATGATTGTGGGAATTTCGACCTGAATCCCCAGCAGTCACAGGTCACAGGGACAGGTGCCTGCTGAACACAGACCTCTAGGAGGGCAGTTGGTCCAGTGCCTCCTTTCCTCATGTTTCTTAATCTTGACCTACATCATTAGTCTCAGTTCTGGAACCGTCTGTGAGGTCTAAAACTAGGGGCATCTTCTAGGACCTCGTGGCCCTGCCTCCTCTCTGGCCTCTCACAGGACATTTTCTTCCCACAGGTAGAAAAGGAGGGAGCTACGCTCAGGCTGCCTGTAAGTATGGGGGCTTATCCCTGAGACCTTTGGGACAGTGTAGACAGGAGCCCATGGGGGGGGCTCCCCACCCCATAATCCTCCTGTAGCCACCTCTCCTGTGGGGTCTGACCAGGTCCTGTTCTGTTCTACCCCAGGCAGCAACAGTGCCCAGGGCTCCGATGTGTCTCTCACGGCTTGTAAAGGTGAGAGCCTGGGGACCTGAAGGCAGGGAGTGGGGCACTGGGGACAGAGCTGGGCTTGAGGATTCTGTGATTAGGACATTTTGACTGTGGGGTGCTGTTCCTAGTGTGACCACTTATCATGACTCACCTGAATTTGTTCCTGATTATTGCTTTCTGCAGCGTGAGACAGCTGCCTGTGTGGGACTGAGCGATGCAGGACTTGTTCCCGCCTCCCCTGTGTGGCGTCAGGAGCCTCTGACTTCTCTGTGTGCAAAGGCACCTGATGACTCTGCCACCCTGTCAGCATCGTGTGAGGGGCTGGGGAGGCCAGTCCTGCCCTGTGTCCTGCACCCTCTGCCACACTTTTCCGTGTCATAATACATAATAATTGTTTATATTATGGGGTATATGTGATATTTTGGTGCAAGCATACAATGTGTAATGATCAAATCTGGGTCATTAGACTGTCCCTCACCTCAAAAGTTTATCATTTGTTTGTGTTGGGAAGGTAATCTTCTTTTCTAGTTTGAAATATACAGTAAATTATTGTTACCGACAATCACCCTATTGTCCTATTGAACACTAGATCTTATTCCTTCTATCCAACTATTTTATAGCCATGGCAAACTCTGGAAACCACCACTGTAGTCCCTACCTCTGTGTGGTCAGTTTCTTTTACCTCCCACATGTGAGAGAGAGACACGCGATATCTGTCTGTGCCTGGTTCATTTGTCTTGTCGTAGTGTCCGTGTTGCTACACCCAACCTTATTTTTTTTTATTTTTTACTTTTTTTGTGGCCAGCTGTTCCGGCAGGTGCTGCTCCCGCTCCCTCAGGAACTGGTGGCCCTGCTCAAACTCTGCCTTGATGTCCCGCCTCTGGTCCTGGAGCTTCTTCTGCAGGGTCGGACACGGGAAGGGCTGACGCCTCTGCCGAGGGGCAGAGGACCCGGCATTGGGGACACACCAGGACCCCATTCCTGAATTCTGCAGCATCTGGTGGGGAGGGGGCCTCAAAGGCTCCTGGTTCCCCCTCCTCTCCTCAGAGAAGCTCGAGCAGTTCGGTTCCCTCAGACCTGTGTGAGCAGAACCGGACTCTGGCAGCCTGGCAGGCATCTCTGCTCCAGGCAATCCGGCTGTCCCAAGGCCCTGGGAACCTGAGGTCTCACCCATGAACCAGCACCCTCTGTCCTGGCGGAATCCGCCTATCGCCTCATCTGGTAAGCGTGCTTGTCATCTGAGCCTGCACAACCCTCTCCTCACAACCCCACTGGTGGGTCCCCAATGTCTGTGTCACCCCGTCCCACGACACAGGCTGTGCCCTGCTTCCTCAGGGCCCCTGTCCACCCCTGCCTGCAGCCCCCCTGCCTGACTGGAGTCAAGCCACAGTCCTCAGTGCCCCTCTGACCCATGCTGGGGCGGAGGTGTCCGTGACAACCACGGCCTGGAGATGGTCCTTGGACTGGGGCTGTCTCTGCCTTTACCTCTCCTTCTCCCTGGGCCCAGTGTCCCTCCACTGCCCGCTCCCCAACAATCACACTCCCTGGAGAACTGGAACCGCCCCCGTCAGGGTTTTCCCTCCTGACGCCTTTGTCTAAGCGAGCACACAAGGTGCCACCAGGTCATAACTGCTGCTGTCCCTCCTGTCAGCGGGCTTTGGGTTCTAGGACCTCCCGCCCCTGAGGATAGCAAAATCTGAGGGTGCGCAAGTCCGTGATACACAAGGGCGCGGCCTCCGTGCACTCGGTCGTCTGGATCACCCATGACACCCGGCGCAGTGAACACGCTGGGGGAAGCGCTGCTGCGCTGCACCGTTCAGAGAGCAACGACAGAGTCCGCGCGTGTGCAGGAGACGCTTTTCCCTTTTCTGAGCATTTCCATTCTGTGGCTGGTGGAGCCCACGGGTGCAGACCAGTACACGCAGGGCCGGCTGCACTGGCGACCTCGCCAGCCCCCATGTCAACCACGCGGTGCCACCAGAGCTGGTCAGGCCCCCTCAGCCGCCTCCGCCTCCCTCTCAGCTCTTAACTGGGAGCCAGCTCCCTCTCACCAAAGCCTGGGGCTTCTGTCTGCCCTCAGGAAATCATGTCTTTCTCCCCTCTTTAGGAGAAGAATGAAGCCAGGCCTCCTGCGCCAACTGGCGGAAGAGCAGCAGCTGCCAGACGGGGACCCTGCAGTGGAGGTGACAGTCACAGAGAAGGGAAGGAACTCTGACTGAGGTCCAGGCAGCCCGCTCACCTCTCAGGTGAGAAGCAGGCTCAAGGCCACACAGCTCAGAGGCACAGAGCCGGGGGAGGCCACTGCCAGCCTGTCCGTCCTCCCGCGCGAGGTGCCCCTGGGGACACTCGCAGCAGCCGCCTGCTCACCCCTGCGCTGCCTGCTCCGCGCTGGCAGCCACCTCGGCCTTCCCGCAGCCGAGCTCACCTGTGCCACCAGGACGTCAGCTTCTCCCTTGGCCTGGAAGCCCTGAATTTTCTCTCTGTCCCCCCTTAGGGCCTTCAGGTGGTTCAGGATTTTTTCCTGTGGACAAGGAAGGCGCGGGGACGGGTGGATGCTCTGGCCCAGGTTTTGGAGGCTGCTGGCGCAGCGTCCCCGGAAGGCGGCAGGACACCCGGCAGGGCGGGCTCACCCTGCGGGGCTGTGTGGACTTCTCCACCAGCACGGCCGGCCGTGTGGGGCCGGTGCTCCCGGGACTCCCAGCACATCGCGCACAGCAGCCTCCTATCTTACTACCAATAGGAGTGCAGCTTCTCCCCGGTGCCTCGCACACAGCTTCTTCCCGCCCTGCTGTTCCTGGGCTGCGCTCCAAGCCACCCGCCCTCCTGCACCTTCAGCTGCTTGCTAGATGTTCTCCACCAGGCTGACCAGCCGACGCCCTCCTTCTTGAACGGCTTCTTGCAGAGCAGACACGAGGGGCGCCACCCCCACCCCCCAGGCGGGGCGGACATCGCTGGCGCAGCTGTGGCAGAAGACGTGGCCATAGTCAATGGTCACGGGGTCCCGCAGATGACCAAGGCAGATGGATCAGGTCACCTCTTCCTCCAGGCTCCCCTCCGGGCTGGCCTGGCCATGGTACCCGTAGCTCAGAGCGTTCTCAGCTCACCAGTGGGGCTTCTCCTTGGGGACCAGACACAGAGTCAAGAGCAGGCGCAGCAGCAGGGCAGAGGCGCGGTAGCCAGTGTAGGGCGCCGGCCCCAGACACCACCAGCTCCCAGGAGGCTCTCACGACCTCAGAGTGACAGGGACCTTGCCTATCTCTAATAGCTAGTTTTCAGGAAACCTAGTGCCTAGACTGGAGTTAACCATTTCTGCCTCCTGTATCAAACCCAAACTGTCACCATGTTAAAGCTAGGTGTGTGGACCCAGGTTTGAGACTGACATTTCTCTAAGGGAAAGGGAATTCAATTAGGCAAATATTTGTGAAGATGATGTTTGAGTAAATAATCAACATCTCAAGAATTCTTAAGAAACTAATTTTGAAATTTTTATTCCTTCCCTTCCTCCCTCCCTCTCTCTCTCTCTCCCAATGTTTTTTCCTTTTCATTTTATACACAGGGACTCTCTGTGTTGCCCAGGCTGGAATGAAACTTCAGGCCTCAGGTGATACTCCAGCTACAGCCTCCTGAGTTACTGGAATTGTGATTTTGAGCCACTGTGCCCACATCTGAATCTTCTTTGGAAAAACACTAAGATAGTGTTCATTTAAAGGCATTAATGTTATGGCACTGAAGTCTTGGAACTCTTGGATCCAGCTACAATATGTTCTCAACTTTGTATCAACTTATTGAAGAGAACATTATTATTAATGGCATTTACATGAAAATCTCAGAGATATTAATGTATATCCCTCCTCTGTCCCAAACTTCTTATGCAGCACCCAATGTTCTGTGATGTCTGAAAATTTTAATCACTACTTGGAAAAGAGAAGTTTAAAGTATTAAAGTAAAATAATCAGAGGAAAGAAGCATTTGATTTACAAAATCCTGAAACAATCACTTTCATTTTGCTTTTGGCATGTATGCAAAGTCACTGATACTCCTCCTTTCTGGAGGTGCAGCTTAATTCCCTCCCTGTGAGTGTGGCCTGGACTTAATGGTTCACTTCTGACAGAGCAACGCTGATGTAAGTTTGTGACTCTGGTGTAGGACATAAAACTCACTGTGGATTCCACCCTGCTTCTCCCTTTCTGGGATGACGAGCTCTGGGGAAGCCAGTTGGTTTGTCATAAGCAGCCCTGTGCAAAGCTCCACATTCTAGAAACTGAGGGCTCCTGGGACCAGCCAACAAGCAGCTGAGGCCTCTTCCAGCAGTCACGAGAGTGAGCCACGTTTCATGCAATCCCCAGCCCCAGTCCAGCCCTCAGATGACACTGCCTGGCTGACAACTGGACAGCTACCCTGTGAGAAGCCCTGAGCCAGGAGCACTTAGTGAAACCTCTCCTGGATTCCTGACCACCAGAAACTGTGGGAAATAATAAATATTTGTTGTTTTGAGCTGCTATGTTTTGGGTAATTTCATACACAGCAGTAGATAATAGAATTTGCAAAGAAAGAATGAATTATGGCACTTTAATTTTCATTTTCTCTACATGAATTATAAGATATTAAACATATCATTTGGCCTTAGGATGTAAGAAGAACTTCCATGGCCAAATAGGGTGTATTTTATTACCACTCATAACTATCCATTTACTTGACCTTCTATTTCCAGCTGTGACCCAACTGAACAGAAAAGGAAGATCCGGGCATGCTAGGCTGATTCTGTGATGTCCCGCAATAACCACCCCCTGCTTATTCACCTTCCCCCGGTTACTCAATCACCACTAATGTAGGTGCTGCTGGGAAGGGACTTGCAGATATAACTAAGGTCCAAAATCAGTTGACTTTAAGACAAGGGATTATCCTGGATTGGACTGTCCTAATCCAGGTGAGCCCTT